TCTGGTTGGCTGCCAGCCACACCGTTCCATTCCATGTCTCAGACCACCGGTTCCATACAAGACCGACGATGTGATCAATCCATCATTCACCAGGGATGGAGAGCCTGAGGCTGCAATGCTAACTTGCCCATGACTGATCACTCACCGTGCCCCTCCTAATAATAGATTGATGCAACTTCCAGTGTCTCTCGCTGCTCCCGGAGAGTGGTTGTAAATAGGGCTCTCTCCGCGGACAGCTCCTCGCCACCCTACCCGAGGGCTATGTAGTCCATGTGGGATGTTATGCAACGGTTGCACTCGATCACTCTTTGGGATGAATAAGATGATCCGGCATCGTCCCGACGGAAGCCCCTCCCCTCCCTTGACTCATGTAGGGAGGAGGGGAGGGGGGGAGGAAGGGATTGTTCCTTTGCTTCTAGATTAGATCCTTTATTTAATTTTATCCAAGATTGGCAATAATAATATCTGACGTAGGTAGTGGTGGTGGTGGTGGTGGTGGTGGTGGTGGTGGTGATGGTGGTGAAAAGAATCCCAGACTCCCAGCTCGAGACTTTCTCCTGACCTCGCTTATCGCAGCTGCTGTTCCCGGTCCCTGAATGCCTTTGCTGCCTGAGGCTGGCAACATGTTTGTTTGTTTGTTGGTGATTCACGCCTATGCCTGCATGCAGGGGCCAACTCAGGCCAACTCAGGCCAACAACACCGCCCAATCTCCGGAAAATCCAGTCGAGTCCCTCATTCTAGCGAACAAACCAAACAAACCACACGTGCCCCTGTCAATCCCCTGAAATTACCCGTTGATCAGCCCGAGTCCCTTCCCTAAGTTCCCTTCTTCCAGTTTGCTCTGCAGTTCGTAGGAATAATCATAGGGTGTTCGTGCCCGGATCCACCAGTGCTACGGCCAGTTGGGCTGAGAATGGAGATCGAACCCTGATCGAAGTTTCTGCCCTGCCCTGCCCTGCCCTGCCCTGTCTTGCTTGTCTTTTGCTTTCGGATATTGTGCAGTCCAACCTACCTATCCACTACGAATTCCAATCATTCTGTCAACGTCCGCCCATGATGACACCCTTTTCCGATCGTGGGCATCCTGACAGGGGTTTATATTATCGCCGCTCAGGCACCACCAACCGGTTGCTTGACTATAAGCAAGCGAAAAAGGGGAACCAACGAATAGCAGGCGAGGATGCATGCGGACTGGTGGTGCAAGTGAGACCTGATATGGAGGTTGGCCCTCGATTCGTCGAGGGTGATAGGCCTGCAGCCGGTCTAATAGACTAAGAGTTCTCCTGTCTCACCCCCACCCACGCTTCTGTTTTTCCTTCTTCCCACGCTAGTCTAGACGGACATGGGGAACGTTAGTAGTTGACTTAGCCCGTGAACGGCAATAATCCATTTGTAACCGGACACCAGCGGGTGTTGTTGTACCTGCTTTTCTGCCGAGGAACTTCCACCCTTTCCAAGGAAATTCGGTCCAGCGGCCACTCAAGCCCTGGAAAAAGAGGGGAACTTTGCTCGAACTTTGCTCCCACTTGCTCCCACTTGCTCCCACTGGCACCCACTAGACTCCCCAATTCATCCAGGTTTACCCATTTTTCGCTGCAACAAGCATTGCCCCTGGATAGGAATGATGGACACTACCATATCTTATGACCTCTTATGGCCGCAACTAGCATCCAACTAGAAGGTGATGGCCCCGTCAACTAGCTGCTTGGGGATAGCTTGAAGATTTCTCCAGACTTAGTTGACTGCACTCAGTTGGTTAGGGCTTTTTCGCCTCTCTGGGCTTTCCCCCTCCGGTCGTGGCCAGCCATGACTATGTAGACGTTGTCGTCCTTTCCGTCTTCTGCAAAGTTATCTCCTCTTCCCAATCATGCCCTCTGCCATTCCCCTCATCTTATCGAGATGACGCTCTTTGCCTGTTAACGCATCCCATCCATTCCTTCCAGTTCATTCCAGCCTACTTGCTGTCATTCGTTCGTTCTACCGACTCCTGCCGTTCTTTCTGCATCTCTGCATTTCTGCATCACACACGCTATTCTCTTCTTGTTCGTCTCTCGCTCGCTATTCCTTGTTTTGGTCCCCCTGGTGGTAATGCGCCCATCGCTCTGGTGCTGTTGAACCGCGTGCAGTACACCAGCAGTTACCCTAGACCGAATTGACTGGAAGTAAATCTTCCCCTCTCCTTCTCTGAATCCTCCGCCCACCCACAGTCTTTTGGCCTTGGGGAGGTCGTGCAGCACCATCCGCACAAGATCTCGCGACACACGACACACAACCCACGACACACAATGGTTTCACTTGCCAGCCTCGGGCAATGGGTTCTCAGCATCGCCCTCCTCGGTGGGTATGAGACCGTCTCAGCCGCGACTACGCAGCAATGGAAGTCACGCAGTATCTACCAGACGATGACCGACCGGTTTGCGCTGCCCGCGGGCACCACGGCGGCCGCCTGTAACACCACGGCCGGACTGTACTGCGGAGGCACCTGGCGCGGCACCATCGATAAGCTCGACTATATCCAGGGCATGGGTTTCGATGCGGTGATGATTTCGCCCATTATTCAAAACATCGACGGTCGGGCCTCGTATGGTGAGGCCTACCATGGATACTGGCCGGATGATCTGTACTCGCTCAATTCGCGCTTCGGGACGCACCAAGACCTGCTGGATCTCAGCGCCGCCGTCCACTCGCGGGGCATGTATCTCATGATGGATACGGTCATCAACAACATGGCCTATATGACCAACGGCAAGAACCCCGCCACCAACATCGACTACTCGGCCTTGACTCCCTTCAACAGCTCGTCCTACTACCACAGCTACTGCGAGATCTCCAACTGGAACAACTACACGCAGGCCCAGCTGTGCCAGACCGGTGATACGATCGTCGCCCTGCCCGATCTGTACACCGAGCACGAGGATGTGCAAAACATGCTGGTCGACTGGGCCACGCAGATGATCTCGACGTACTCGATCGACGGGCTGCGCATCGACGCCGCCAAGTCGGTCAACCCCGGTTTCCTGGCCACCTTCCACGACCGCGTGGGCACCTTCATGACCGGCGAGGTCTTCGAGCAGAACGCCTCCATTGTCTGCGACTACCAGGACAACTACCTGCCCAGTCTGCCCAATTTCCCGCTGTACTACACCATTCTGGATGCCTTCACGCGCGGCAACCCGAGCGCCCTATTCCAACGGATCGCCCTCGTCCAGGAACTGTGCAAGGATGTCCCCGCCATGCCCACCTTCATTGAGAACCACGATGTGGACCGGTTCGCGTTCGCCAACGACGATCTGACGGTAAGCCCCCTTCGATTCCATTGAGTACAAGCCTGCGCATGACCATGAGCACAACCATGAGCATGAGCCTGAATGAAGAAAAGGGCCCTAAACTAACCATCCATCCCTAAATACAGCTGGCCAAGAACGCCATCGTCTTCGAGATGCTCTACGACGGAATCCCTTGGGTGTATCAGGGCCAGGAGCAGCACCTGAACGGCTCGTACGCGGGCACCCACAACCGCGAGGCGCTGTGGGAGTACGGGTACGATACGAGCTCGACGCTGTACACGCTGATCTCGAAGCTGAACCGGGTGCGCAAGCACGCGTACAAGCTGGACCCGGAATACATCGAGATGCAGACGATCCCGCTGTACCAGGGAGGTAGCGAGCTGGCGTTCTGGAAGGGCGCGTTCGGGCGGCAGGTGGTGATGCTGCTCTCGACGCAGGGCAGCACGGGCAGCTCGTACAACGTCACCCTGCCCATGACCTACGGGGCGGGCATCGAGGTGGTTGAGGTGCTGAACTGCGTCAACTACACGGTCAACGACTACAGCCAGCTGATCGTGCCGATGGACAAGGGCGAGCCGCGGGTCTTCTTCCCGGTGACGCTGATGCCCGGCAGTGGCTTGTGTGGCTTCAGTTCCAACACCACCTCGCTGAGCCATCTGCGGCTGTCGGCCGCCGCCGCAGCCCTGGGTTCCACGGCCAGTCCGACCGTGGCGCAGGTGTGCGGGAGCTTGGTTGCGATTATTGCCTTGTTGACTAGCTTGTTGCTTGTTTAGTTTGGGGTGTGTTGATTTGAAAATCATTGGTGTCCCCCGATCACGGGATTGATTAAAGCTTTGTCTTTCTCCCCTTTTCTCTCTCTCTCTCTTTACTGCTGCGGCTGCTACTAAGCAATTTCTCGATGTACATACTTTACATAGCTTGGTGTTCGTTCCTCGCTCGATTGGCGCTGTACCTGGTTTTTCATTTATTGATTTGGTTTTCTTGTTCGATTCTGCGGCAGGCCCTTGCTTGACTAAACTTTCCCCCCCCCTTCATGTAGCCGGAAATTCATCTTTCATGCTTCAATATGCTCAACCCTACGGCGCAGTCAGGGGCAACATGCATGCATTTTCCATCAAGTAATCTCGTCAGAACCGTTTAATCTCCAATGTCCCAATGTCTTCGCCGTGGTGGGGCGACAATCTGGAATGTCTTGGACACCACTTAACACCTTCGCTCCGTCCCCGAAGCTTGCATCTAAAAATGGACATCCCTCGGTTCTTCGACGTCAGGCCCCATTTTTATTTCTGTTCGACCGGCTTTTGAAGGGGACTCACTCCACTTGGCACGGAGAGCTCTTTTTTTCGATTGAATATTCTTCCGCCGGGGATTTCGGAGGGTGGCCGGTAATTTACGCGCCCGGTACGGGTATTGTGTCTCGCTTGGGCTGTCTTGCCTCGGATCGCGTCCTTCGAATGGGGCAAGGCGGTCACAGCTGTACCCGGCGGGCGTAATAAAAGCTCCTCGGGATAAACACATGGACTAATTTAGCTTAGGTGGTTAGTAGCTGGAATCAGTGGCTGCAAGCAGCAAACAGCACCGCAGCAATCAGGGGCCAATCCGATCTCCTGTATGTGTATATGCATGTGTATAGAGCACAGTCGCCACCAGCTATACCAGTTCCAGATCCATGCTCCCATAATTATAACATACACACGAATTAATCCAGTGCAATGCATTCCTTGCTGTGGTGTTTCCGCCCGCGCAAGCGAAGAGACCTCCATGACTGGAAGCAAATAGAGGGTCAGCCATCCCGTTCCCCCCCGTACGTCGAGAGATATATATTGAACGGTTTTGCACAGCCAAGGCCGACAACGTGGAATCCCAGCCCAGCTGGCACGACCCCAACGACAACACCTTGCTCTTTGAAGGCTTCGAATGGCACATCCCGAGCGACAATCGCCACTGGAGGCGGCTGCAACGCGCCCTGCCGGCCCTGCACGCCATCGGGGTGGACTCCGTCTGGCTCCCGCCGGGGTGCAAGGCGATGAACCCGTCGGGGAACGGGTACGACATCTACGACCTGTACGACCTGGGCGAGTTCGACCAGAAGGGCTGTACCGCCACCAAATGGGGCTCCTTCGCCGACCTCGAGGCGCTGATGGAGGACGCCCACGCCATCGGGGTGGGCGTGTACTGGGATGCGGTGCTGAACCACAAGGCCGGCGCCGACTTCCCGGAGCGGTTTGAAGCGGTCAAGGTTGATTCTCAGCGTATGCTTCTCCTCATTCCCAGTACCCAAGGGTGATGCTCACGCGACGAAAACCAGGACGCGATGTCGAGATCGCAACCCCCCAAGAGATCTCCGGCTGGACGGGCTTCAGCTTCTCCGGCCGGGGCCCCGCCCACAGCGCCCAGGAATACCACTGGTACCACTTCAGCGGGGTGGACTGGGACGACGCCGCCAAAGAGAACGCGATCTTCCGGATCTGCGGCGCGGGGAAGCCCGGCTGGGCGGAGGACGTGGGCCGGGAGCTGGGGAACTACGACTACCTGATGTTCGCGGACCTGGACTACTCGCACCCGGAGGTGCGCGCGGACGTGCTGCGCTGGGGCACCTGGATCGGCCAGCGGCTGGGGTTGAAGGGGATGCGGCTGGACGCGGCGAAGCACTTCTCCATGCGGTTCCAGAAGGCGTTCGCGGCGCACATGCGCGCGACCACAGACCCGGATTTCGTCGTCATCGGCGAGTACTGGACGGGGGATGTGCAGGAGCTGGTGCGGTACGTCCAGACCGAGATGGAGGGGACGGTGGTCGCGGTCGACGCGCCGCTGGTGCATAATTTCTCGCGGGTGTCGTTGGAGAAAGGCCGTGGGGATCTGCGGCGCGTGCTGCGGGGGACGTTGGTCGAACGGTGTGGGGCGAATGCTTTGGTATGTCCGTTCTAGCTATTTAATTCTGAGGGAGGGGGAGTCGATGAGAAAAGGGGGGGTGAAGGTGAGGTTGAGGGAGTGCTAACCTTGGAGCATAGACATTCGTCGAGAACCATGACACGGTAAGTGCAGCGCACCAATGCACCCTTAATATAGGATCACTAACCGAAAGCCAGCAACCCGGCCAAATGATGGAGGTAAGAACCTCCCCACCCCCAAGATCCATCCACAGCCTTATCAAAACTGACCCCTGTGCAGAACACCATCACCCCGGACTTCAAACTCCTCGCCTACGCCCTCATCCTCCTCCGCCAAGAAGGCCGCCCATGCCTCTTCTACGGCGACCTGTACGGCATCTGGGACGCCCAGACACAACAAGCCCACCGCGACCCGGCCTACGCCTACCACCTCCCCATCCTCACCCGCACCCGCAAGCTCTTCGCCTACGGCGAGCAACAGGACTACTTCGACCAAGCGCATTGCATCGGTACGTTCCCGCAGACCTACCATCCTCCAAGTCAATTAGCAAATCCCCCAATGCCCCAATCGGGCGATGACTTCATGACTTCGTAACATAAATTCCCTCACGTGGCGGCCTTTCGTATCTGACCCCACCCGTGTGCAACCGCAGGCTTCGTCCGATACGGCAACGCCCGCCACCCGGCGGGATTGGCGTGTGTGTTAAGCAACGCGCCCGGGCGTGCCACGAAGCGCATGTATGTCGGGCAGCGACACGCGCAGGCGACGTGGACGGAGGTGTTGGAGGGCGACAGCAGCAAAATGGGTGCGGTGGTGATTGACGCGCGGGGGTATGGGGAGTTCCCCGTGGAGGGAGGGGGGGTAAGCGTTTGGGTTGATGCGGCGGCCCCGGACCGCGGGAGGCTGAATGACCCGTTGTATGTGACTCTCCTTGGTGGTTTGTGTGGGATGAGATGGAGCTGACTCACAGTTTTGCGAATGCAGTGATCATGACATCTATGGGTATCTACGGTAAGGTGAGCAAAAGGTAAGAAGGGTTACACTCACCGGACCGAGCCATGGACCACCCCAATGAACCGGGATACGAGGGCTGGCTGGCTGACACCACCACTGCCCGACCAGCACAACCAGCACAAAAAGTAAAATAAAGTCAATGAGACCCCCAAGAGTCTACACTCCCCAATCAGGCAATTCCTCTCCTCCATGAAGTAAATATTAAGTAATCCGAATGCAAGTGGGGCAGTGCACTGAAACATCATTGCCAATAGGTCTCTGACTTTCTGTTGACTGACTGACAGACAGACAACACTCTGCACCCTATGCATCTCATCTCATCTCATTTCCTCTCATCACCACACTCTCTCCTATCAATGGAAGCGTCAAGTCAATTCCCCCTGTCCATCACTGCAACACTGCAGGGATGTCAATCCTTCGCATGCAGGAAAGTGTAGAGCTCATTTCCCTTATCTCATGGCTTCGCGCCAAGCCCGCATCCACTCACCCACCCACAAAGCCTCATCGTATCGAGCAACCCGCCGAGAACAGAGCAGGAAGAGGCGCCCCTCAAGCAGGCTTGCACTTCCTACCAGATCCGAAAACAGATTGAGACACTATGCCGGGTGGGGATTGGTCCTCTTGCTGTTCCTGGCATGAAACCCACCAGACTTGAAAGGCAAAGGAAAGAAAATAAATGTCTCGGAAGAGAGAATCCGGTGTGGTTGACCAGTGCTTTTTTCGTGGTGGTGGTCAGACAAGGACTGAAAAACTCACGGGGACGCACTAACGCCCTTTCCGGCAAGCCCGCCGTGCGGTTCCGGATGCAGTGTGTATTTTTCAATACCACCCCATACGAAAGGACAATCAGGGTCTAAGGCGGTGGATGGCAGCCCTTACACCAATAAACTGTCTCCCATCTTTCCTTGCCCCGGTCGGCCGCTCGGCATCCCACTGCTTTCGGCGGTGGATGATGTCAGACTCGCTGCTTACACTTTCCACTCCAAAAATGTCGCCAGGATGAACCATGTTTGGCCTAAGGCAGCACAATCGATTCAGGAACAGGCAAGCGACACAAGCACGGTCGGGGCACGGTCGGCCATATCCAAGGTTCTTACTCGGGGGATCCCAGGGAAAGAGCTCCAATGCGACCATTATTTGGTCCAACTTAATTGTTATGATTTTAGAACACAGCATGGAATAAACACATAACATCAAAAACCAATCGCTCCGACACGATCCAATTAATCCAACAACCTCACTTCACGCGAAGGTTGCCTTTATGTCCATAGTAAATTAACGTATTGCGCAGTGGAAATCAAATCGGGTTCCGATCCGGAGGTCCGGTTCGGTAAGGGTGGGACAGGGTTGTCCACCGGTTGCGGATCACCTAGGAAGGAATGCTCGTTTACAGAACAAGAGCCATGGCGCCCATGACCAGACCGGCAACGGCGGTCAGCGGGGCAGTCAGGGCGGAACCAGCACCGGGGGCGACAGAGGCCGTCGGGGCAGTGCCGTTGGCCGTCGAGCTGGGGGTAGCGGATCCTGAGGGTGACACACTGTTAGTACTCGCCACTGGGGTGCTGGCGCGCGCACTCGACGACTGAGCGCCGCTGATGGAGGAGGAGGAGGTGGATTGAGAAGAGGTGGATTCAGAAGAGGTGGATTGAGAAGAGGTGGGTTGAGAAGAGGTGGTTTGGGCAGTAGTGGAGATGAGGGTGCTGGCAGTACCGGTAGAAGAGCTGGCGGTCGAGGTGAGGGTGGTCGAGGCGGAGGAGGCGGAAGACGAAGAGGAGGATGAGGAGGAAGATGAAGAGGCGCTGCTGGTGCTGGAAGAGCTGGCGCTGGCGCTGGAGCTGGAGCTGGAGCTGGAGCTGGAAGAAGCACCCTTCACGTCGAACTGCTGCGACTGGGCGAGGATGCCGCTGTTCTGGGGCTCGTCGGAGACCAGGTTGATCTGGTAGCCCTTGCTGTTGCAGATGTTAGTCTACTGCGCATTTGCACACTCCCAAACAGAGAACGTACCCGTCGGTCAGGCCAGACAGGCCAGAGACAGTAAAGGAGCCCTTCGAGGTCTCGACATCGCTGGCGATCTTCTGCTCAACCGGGGGGTAGACGGCGTTGTTGACAATGTAGAGATTGAAGTTGGAGGCGTCAGTGCTGACGGAATCCCACTTGACAGTGAAGGAGTTGGAGACATCAACATCCTCGCCCTTGGTGGGGGAGGTGACCTCGAGGGCTACAGGCAGGCGTTAGTGACCATGTGTTTCGCAGGGTGATAAGATACACCAGAAGAAGATACATACCGCCAACAATGGCAGCCAGGGGCAGAACGGCGTAGGAGAAACGCATGGTGGCTGATCCAATTGAGCAAAAAGTTGACTTAAACGGGTGACGGGTATGCAAAACGAATGCGAGGGGTCAATTCCAAAGAGAACGAGTGTTGGTGATGGTGATAATGAAAGAAAGAAGTCTGCAGCTGGATAGACCGGCGGAGGAGTTATATAGTGATATCGACGAGTTGGGATGTCTCAGAGATGGGGTAAAAAAAAGTCTGTCTCCAAATCTGATGATTATTCTTTTTTTTCCCAGGTGGCAATGGGGCAAGGGCACCAAGAGGGCGGTTCCTCTCATTCCACTGGACAGGTCTGAACATGTCAACGAAAATAGATAAGACAGCAACCGCTAAAGCACCGGAGGGGCCAATAATACGGACGGTCCGACTGAGTACAACCTTTTACAGCCAATACTTGGGGGAATGTCCCTTTGTCTCCTCACTGCATCCGTGGTGATCATTCGGCCCAACTGGGAACGGTGGATCAAGCGGACCGGAGGTACGAGGGACGGTTCTGGGTCAAATCATCAAATGCCCTATCGAGTTCGTCGACATCTATGGTCCTCAGGAACCAACCACCAAATCACACCCCAACACAAACATGAAAACAAAAAACACACAGACAGACAGCAAACAGCCGTTACCGTACTCCATCTGACCTCCGGGTGCACACTAATTATAGCCGGAACTGTCTCACTTTCGGGACGGCAACGACAGCGCGTGGTTGGGTTGGCAATGTTTTTCCCCTCCAGGACCCTTACCTGGTTGTTGGCAGGCGATGGCCCTTCATGAGGGACCAATGGGGGTGGGAAATGTGATTCGGGTCACTCCGACAGGTTTTCCATTGAAAAACATTGGGGCAATAATAGTTGATGGTACCGTTATCTTCCCGAAAGGTCGAGGAGGAGAGTGTGCGACTGTGCGTGCATTCGGCGGGTGCACACAATGGGCACGCATTCGGCGGGTGTCTTAAAATGCAGGACATCCATCGTCAGACGGGTATAGAATTACATCATCATCATGGTTTTCGCATGATTGATACGAACTACCATGGTGTCAGAGCATCAGACGCAATGAACCCAGCAGGCTCGAAAGGGAGAATCCTCCGAGAAAGTTGTCTTGCTCGTGGTGACCACTAACACAGCACAGCCATGTAGACGACCAGCTGAGAAGGGCTAATCTTAGCCTCCATCATGGCTGACTCGCGATTCTCGGATCCCTCGGTCGGATAGAGGTCACGTGGTGGGGAAGCCTGCCAGCCGCGGAACAATATATTCTTCCTTTGTATGCTTGCGTCAAGTGTTTACGCTTCAGCGGCGATATCCCAGTGGGTGCACATGTTTCTCGAGGTATCTGCTACATGGTGGCGATTTTGTCGAAACCAGTCCTGCCCACAATATATTGGGTGGGTGTGGAGTAAAGTAACAGGTAGTATCTACAACCCACCGAGTAGCGGCAACATATATCCGTGTAACGAGCTCGGCCATCGACAACTTGAATCTAACCCTGCCGAATATACTCCGGTATTCACATAACATCAAGACACTCACGAACACAGTCAATCTGATGAACATCTTCCGTTTCCTCAATGCTCAGTTGTAGTTCGGAAAACGCCCGTCTGGGCCGTAGATCAGGGGCAGACGTAGTCAATAGCGCGAGTCGAGCAGCGAATGCATCAGCCCAGGAACAACTGCAAGGGGCAGCGATCGTCATGCAAGGCAATCAAGAGTTGATATATCGATTGGTTCCTGCAGCGATAAGGCAAGCCATCACCATAAGCCTGAGCCTATCTCGAAGTGGGGGGCCTTACACTATGTATGGAGACTCTTCGGGCTATGGATCGACTGCAAAGCGTGGTCGAAGGACTTTGCAGGGAGGTTAGTAGCCAGATACATTACCGGTACTTGGTGAAATGTAAACGATGCGAGGCATTTTGATTCAGAGCCAGCCTGTTCTTCACAACGTGCCACTACAAAGGCTATTGCATAAGCTGATAGGACATATCTAACGATACTTCCGTTTCGGTCCGAGGGACGTTTCCAACGGTCAGGTTGAGTTGGAATCCGCTCATCTATCACCCCAGTCGTAGGGACACCAGCCATTACACTCCTGGGCATTGGCCTTGCCCTGCATATGGACTTCATCCAGGAAATACCGGCTCGGACCTCGGGCTCGATCGCAATATCGGTTCCTTTGCCACTTACCCGGCCCGGATACTGCAGGACCGAGGAACAAAACCGAACGATTCACCTAGTATATTTACAAACTTGCGCGTTACATGTCACATGAGATGCAATCCCGGTATTGTATTTAAGATACTTCTCACGTAGCTACTAGGTCGCTCGAGATACGTGTCACTTGTAGGCACATCCGTGTTGTTTTCCCCTTTCTTGTGGAATGTATTCGTTCTGGGAATGCGCTGAGATTTTGATATTGGGTCGTAGTGATTCCTAGGGGCATCAACACCTAACGTAGGCTTGGATCTCATACCGGTAGATTCGCCTGCGCGTTAGACCCTGCGCTGCAGCCACCATCGAGTCGATCATGAAATATCGCCTCATGTTGAATGAGTCGGTCCGATCTGGTCACCAGTGGAACATGACATGCGCAGAATTGAAGCAGATGGATTAACAATTGAAGGTTTGTGTAGATGACATTTATGCAAGCGAATGAATTATAGCTTCCGTGCATACATCAAGCGACATCATCCGATATGTTCACTCCCACTTCTTCATCAGAGTGTTCCCCTCGACCTGACTGTCAAACTCCACAATATGCGTGGAATGGCACCAAGGCTTGATGGTCTCCTCCTTGCGGATGACATCCGCAAAGAACGAGCACCAGCGCTGTCGCGGGTGCGTCTGGTTGACCTCTTCCCGAGTGGTATCGTGGAGGATCTTGCTGAAGTCCTTGACGTGAGGGTGGTCACCCACATTGTCGTAGAGGGTCGCCAACTGGATGAGCTGGCCGAAGAAGGTGATGGTCCCGTCTACCCCCATGTCCTGGTGTCTGATGATCCCTTCGGCGACTGCCTCGGCCTGGTCAGTCGTGGCGCCGAAGTCCTTGAGGACCTGCAGAGCTTTGATGCCTCCGTAGAGATCGAAGGACATCCGGGTGGCCGTCAGGTTCTCCTCGGCTGTACCGAGATCGTGTAGAAGACAGAGCAGAGCCCAGGTAGCAGGACTGAAAGTCGCGGCTTGCTTGGGGAACTGTTGTTTGGCGATGGCCATTCCTGCAGATCAAGATTAGTTACTGTGGATCTGGGTCGTTCAAGCAGGCGTACCGTAGTAGAACACTCTCATTGAGTGATTGAAGGTCTGCGGATGGAGGACGGCCTGAGCATACTCCTGAGTCTTTGCGACAACGGGGTCGTCGGAAGGAAACTTGATCTCATTGATGAAGAGAGGGCCGGGTGCGGTGATGAAAGGCTGATCCTTGAAGATGGCACCAGCGTTGACGGGAACGTTGGTCCAACCGTTGAGTTCAACCTCGTTTTGGCACATGTTGGCAGTGGTAAGAATAGATTGACTGAAGGCTAGGAAGTAATAGATTGGATCCTGAAGAATGTCTGGGTCACTGAGGAGAGAAGAAGTTGAGAGTCTTTATAGTTCTCCGCAACCCGGTCGCGATGTGCTCATGGTGACGATTTGTAATCCGCATGCTGATAAACCGCTCGTTCTCGAGCTTGGACATACAGACATACAATGTAGAAGCCACTTGAAGCAATCTCACCAATCTTGGGACGAAGATTGACTGTCCGCAGGGATATTCGATGTCTTCGTTCCTTGCGAAGCCTCAGGCGGGGTGATGACTCTAACCGGATCGGGAAGTCTTTTGGAGTGGGGCGACGTCTGGCCAATCAACTGCCGAATCGTGCGACCGGCGGGCAGCACCAAATGACGTGGACGGCTTCAATGGCGCTGAATGCTATACGGTACTCAACATAATCATATCAGAAGCCAATCGCCATCTACTTGTCCCATACTGAAGATCCAATTGGACCTAGAATTCGGTTTCTGCTCGGCCTCGGCCCAGAATCGCTGCAGAATCTTCTCTGCATTGATCACATTGATACACTTGGTTTCGAACCAGAACCTGCGAAGGCAATCACCCACCAACTGCCTCTGGCACGCATCCCGAGATTCCAGGCCTGCAACGAACAAGGGCCAGAGGATGCACTTGAACAGCGCCTCATTGCTCCGTAGCGCGGCAACGGTGCTGATCAGCTCCCCGACTATGTCCTCCAACGGAGTCGAGTCTCCCGTGAACACATCGCAGACACGCCAACCGTAGATCAATGTCCCCAATTTATAGGCCTGACCTAACTTCTCCAAAAGCGGGAGAGATTGTGCTGGCCCAGTGAAAGTCGACAGAGAAGGCTCAAGTTCCGTAGCCCAGGCATGGCAGTCAAAGCTCTGCGTAGACTCCAGTGAGACCTGGATGGTTTGGAGCAGCGAATACGCATCGATGGTGTCAAGGCATTCGGAGCTCGCCAGGCAGTCCCTAGCTGCCGAGAAAGACCGAAGAGCATTCAGGAAGTATTCCGGGCAACCCAAGTAAGCCTTGTCAACGCTCATCTGGAGGGCCGTAGACGGGTGGTTGGGCTCGGAGGTGGCAAGTAACCCAGGACGCGTGAAGGTCGTGCCTAAAGTATCGATTCTGCAATGACACCACAAGTTAGCTTTTCTCAATCAGACAAAAGTGAGGCTGTTGAGAGATATCGTACAAGTACACCTGTCGCATAGCGAATTCGCACATCCCTTGGATGGTTGTTCCCAGCTCCCGCGAGCTCGCCGGAATCTGAATCCCCGCAATGAGTTTCTTGACTCCTTCGATGTGAAAATTCCATTTATCATTTCCCGACTCGAATAGATCCAGAAGAATCAACAAGAATGCGCTGATGATCAAGATATCGACCGAAGTAGTTCCGTCGCCCAGGGCCTCCGAAAGCCCTTTGATCGCCCGGTATTTGTACAAAGAAGCGTTGTAGCGAGGCTTCAGTGCCTGGGAGTAGTCGCTTGCTTGGATCTGTTCGAACGTCTGGGTAGCGTTTGCTCGGTGTCGCGCTGAGAGAGCGATGACGGACGCCATCAGCACGGGATGGGCGATGGCCGCGGGAATGAGCTGTCTGAGGGGATTGCGTTGGCTATCGAACATGACAAACAGCTTGCATACGCATTTTCTGTCTGCCGTTGATGTCAGCAACACCTCAGGACAGAATATTGATCAACAGCTCACTGACAGTAGTTCAGGTAGTATCGAGAATCCTCGTCTAGACCTCGAGTAACGGGCTCGTCTAAATTTGAAGGTGTGCGGAGAAGGAGGCTATCCAAGACTCCGGTATGCCACAGATCTTCCCCATTCAGAATCTTCATTTCGGAGTCGGACTGAGGAGGGGATATCGGCTTGGATGGCGGTGTGTCTGTGGATGTGGATGGCTTTGCAGTGCCGCGGAAAGTTGCGCCTTTGACCCAGCGAAGGGGCCTCTTTTGGAGGCATTCAAGCCCGGCCTTCTGGCACTTTTTACACGGGGGCTGGGACATTTGACATTCGACATGTCTGCGACGACACGTGTAGCAGGAACTGTACATGATGCATGATCAAGAAAGCTTCAAAGGAACAACTGGATGGAACATGGGAGACGGGAGAAGGTAAAGTGTTTTGGGTGGGACAATTGCGGGGGAGAATTGGAGAAATCCCCGACCGTGGAGGATCATGTGATCACTTTTATCTTATCGCCTTCCAGCTCTCCGATCACTTGTGCACTCGCATACCCTGAATGCGGTCAGTGCGCGTTGATGCCACCGACAAACCTGCAACTTATACTTAACCCAAGCAGAAGACAAGGCACAGCGCCAGTTTTTTTGCCATGCCCAGCTGCAGCTTCCAGATATGCGGTAGCGGAAGTGCCATCACCATGAGATCGGTTTATCAGGTTGAGCGTGACGGCTATGACATAGGTGGCATTGCGGCTCTTACACTTCCCAATGGGCAGGGCTATGTTCTAATTGAAGGCTAGCGGACGGCCTAGCAGGAGGGTCTCTAAGATGACACTGATGGCTTAGAACAGACAACTACTATGATGATTGCGACGCAGATCCGGAACGACCGCTTCTTGCCGAAGATGCGCGTGAGGAAGAGCATCATAGAGATCTTGATCAATCCAATTACGATTCCGTAAAGGGCTTCCAGCGGAAGGACAGTCTAGGGGCTGTCAACTTCCCATTTGCAAGCTTTCGAACAGTTTGATGCCCACCTTGAGCGTGACAGCGACCGACGACGGGGCTATTCCGTCGGCATGGCGACCAGTTCCACCGAGACTTGGCACTGCAGACATGAGCCTCGTTTGTCATGCATAGAAGGAAAGGGGAAGTGAAGAACTTCAACCCTATCCTCTGAGGATATGATCCAGACATGCTGCACTGCAAGATCGCGCGGCATGGGGAAGCAATAAGGAATGCTACAAAACCGGCAATTGAAGCCGGCCGGAAAGCGAGCAGGATGTTGCTATATCCACTTTGCATCCTTTGGGGCCGAACTGGTTCTTAGTCCCGAGGCTAAGGCTGGTGTTGCCGAATTGGGCTGGATCGGCCGTGCATTACTCGGTCCGGCGCAGAGACGGCGCCTTCAAGTGCGACGCTTGCCAGTCACCTCTCCTGTTGATGAATCGCATGGATCGCACGTGGAACCGGTGCAAGCCAGGGTTATGCTTAGCAGATGCCGAAACTTTGCTTCATCGCTGGCAGTTGACTCTAACAGCCTATGGGAGGGGGCTGAGAGTGGATAGCCTCCTCCTCTGAATGCCACTCACGGTAGTTATCAAGAGAGGTTCTGTCGTCCAATTGCCTACAAATAGTCGACATAAGCTCCATTGCGTACTCCACTCATATCACGCTCCCGTTATCATGTCCGCGACGAGGCTGCGGGGCAGAGGGACGAATGCTCCCTACTTAAATCCTTGGATCACAAAAACTCCCCTCCCAGCACACGCCTCCTGACTCTTCTCCTTTCTAGTTCGACTCGAACAATTACCTAAGGCAGCATGACGACCGATACTGCCTCGCTTTCGGATCTGCGCCAGACCTACGACTACCTTGTCGTGGGCGGAGGAACTGCCGGCCTGGTCGTCGCTAACCGACTGACCGAAGATCCCACTGTGAGCGTGCTGGTGCTGGAGGCAGGCAGTAATCGCGTCGATGACCCGCGTATTGCGGTGCCTGGATTAGCAGCCAGCACCTATTTTGATCCCGAGTTCGACTGGTGTCTTACCAGTCCCCCACAGGTAGCAAGATCACTCCGATCTCAAAAGAAGCTGTCTCATGCACTGACACTCTCTGCGTGGATACCAGGAGGCCCTAAATGGCCGATGCATTGCTGAACCTCGTGGGCGCACCCTGGGTGGTTCATCCGCCATCAATCTAGGAATGGCCATTTACCCCAGTCGATCCGACATCGATACATGGGAGCAGCTCGGCAATCCTGGATGGAACTGGGAGTCGCTGTCGGATTATCTACGCAAGTCGCAAACATTCACCCAACCGTCGGACGAGATTCGCGATCAGCTGTCGCTGGGCTATATCGATCCGGCAATCCAGGGCACCGATGGGCCCATCCACGTCTCGTTCGGCGAGGGGCCATTCCCCACCTTCAATTCGGCCTGGCCTCGGACTTTCGAGACGCTCAGCCACCGCATCACTGGAGATCCGATGTCAGGCCGGGCCAACGGAGCCTTTGTCAATCCCGGCACGATCCATGCGACCTCGCGAGCGCGCAGCCACGCCGGGGTGGCTTACTACAATCCCGAGATCGCTCAGCGGCCGAATTTGCGCGTTGTCACCGAGGCCCTCGTGGAGAAGATTCTGCTCGAGAAGACCGATCACGGGGAGGTAAACGCGACCGGGGTACAATTTGTCGGGAAGGACGGGGAGCGCCGGACCGTTGACGCCGGGGCGGAGGTGATTCTCGCGGCCGGCGCCGTCAAAACACCACACCTCCTCGAGCTGTCGGGCATCGGCAACGCGAATCTTCTCCAGACGCATGGCATCGAGCCCCTCATCGACAACCCCAACGTGGGAGAAAATCTGCAGGAGCACGGATTCGTTCCCTTCAGCTGGGAGGTTGCTGACGGGCAGGTCACCGGCGAAGCACTGCGCAATCCGGACATCGCCCAAGCCGCCATGCAGGCATGGCAAGCCTCGGGCGCAGGGCCGCTGGGCCTGTGTCCCATCTCGTCCGCATTCGTGACCTTGCCGGAGCTGCAAGACGGGGAGCTCCAGACCCTGCTGGACCAGTATCTTGATGATGGGGACGTACCACCCCACCGAGCCGCGCAGTACCGTCTCCTCCGGCAGCTGCTCGAGGACCCGGAGGAACCGACGGGGCAGTACACGCTGGCGCCCTTCCAGATCACGCCCGAAAAGGGCCCCAGCCCCAAGGGGATCTTCGCCATGACGGAACCGGAGTGTTTCGTGAGCATCGTGGCCGTGCTCAACCGTCCCTTCTCGCGCGGCCGCGTCCATCTCGCTTCCGCCGACGCAACCGTCCTCCCCACCTTCGACCCGCAGCTGCTGGCGCATCCGCTGGACATCGAGCTGCAGGCGCGCCATGTCCGCTGGTTGGAGACCCTGGCGGCGACGGAGCCGATGGCCTCGCTGCTGAAGCCGAACGGTCGGCGACTGCACCACCCGGAGCGGGTGGCCGATCTGGCGACGGCGCGGAGGCTGACACGGGACCGCATCGTGGCCCACTACCATGTGGTCGGGACCACGGCCATGCTGCCGCAGGCGATCGGAGGCGTGGTGGATGACCAGCTAAGGGTCTACGGGTGTCGCAATCTACGCGTGGTCGATGCAGGGGTTATCCCTCTGATCCCGCGGGGGAATATCCAGGCCACGGTTTTTGCGGTGGCCGAGAAAGCGGCGGACATCATCAAGGAGAGTCGATAGTAGATACAGGTGATGATGTTATCCAAAGGACTAACTCATCAAGACATGAATATGAGCAAATCAGAGCATCGCCTCTCCCAATCGGATCGGCGCAAGTGACGTTACACACACACATCAACAAAATCATAAATTGCCACCATCTATGCATAGTATATCATATCATACACTCTCATATCGTACAGTCCACGTCACATCGCGAAACCAAGAAGCATCGCTCGAAAAGCACAAAGCCAACTACGCTAAGAAAACCGACAAAAAGCTACAGTCAGACAATAATAGTACAAGTACATCAAGCGTCCGGGAGCGGATCGAACACTCTCACTCCCCTCAAACATGCCCTAAACCACACACACAGTCCATCAGCACCAACCTCAACCCGCCAAGCCAAGTGTACAGCACAGCAACGAATCACTTACGTCCCAGCGGCTTGGCCCGTTTCGTGATCGATTTGACCTGGTCCTGTTTCATCTTCGCGGCGCGGGCTCTGCATGACACGCACTCGTTAGCTTCTTCTACCCTAAGGCCACGACAGGAAAGTCATCGGGCGGGAAGCGAGGGAATGACATACTCGATGCGCGCCTCCTCATCCAGACGCCTCACATGCTCGCGGGCATCTTGCACGGCCCGGCGGGAAGCCAGCAGGGCGCGGTCGGCTTCACGCTCGGCGGCCTCGGCGCGCGAGACCTGCTCCTTGGCGGCGAGAACGGAGGGGTCTTCCTGGTGGCGGCGGCTGCCGAAGCTGAAGCGCGAGTGGCCGTGGGTGCTTCCGCTGTGGCTGTGACTGTGGTGGCCGTAGCTGTGGCTGCTGCTGCGACGGCGGGAGGAAGAGGACGAGGAGGAGAGGCTGGAGCGCGGGGAGGTGGAGTGGTGCGAGCGATGGGAGTGGTGCGAGTAGTTGTGGGTGTTGGGGTCGTCGATGCTGCGGTCGGACGAGCTGGAGAGGGAGTTGCGGTGGAAGAGAGGCATCTTGGTTGGTTTTCTTGTCAAGGTGGTAGAGGCTAAAGCGTTGAGCGTTAGATGCTTGGAGGCTGAGTGTCAAGAGAATAGAGTATAAGCTTGTTGAAGTGGATCTGAATAGTGTAGTGGAGAATGGGGGAGGCTGGGGTTGGGGTTGAGACAGGCGTATATATCCTCAATTCCATGCTGAAATACCATCACGGGTGTACGTCAGTGGCGCTGAACACCTCATCTGCTCTGCTGTGCGAAGAGGCTCAGAGTGTCGATCCCAAAGTGCGGTGGAAGGGTATTCTCGCTGTTTTGTGTGAGTATACTTCTTCTCCAGCAGCAAGGGTTCGGTGGGATGACAGCATTGGCGGGCAAATAAGCAATCCTTAGTGGCGATGATGTCAAGCCCGACTGCAACGCGGGACGATCCCTACGCGGTGGCCAATGCCTGCTCGACTCGCATTGGACGTGGCTTCGCCGGCTTTCGTATTCGAGGGGGTGGCATTCTGATTCATGACAGAGATGAGGTGGATTTGTTGATTGTCTTTGCTGTGAGTGGTGGGGGTCAGTTGGACACGGGATCTTGTTTGACTGAGGAGTTGCATTGTGATTTTGTCGGTCTGTGTAAACTTTGGGGGTTGATGGAGCTCTATCAATAGGTAGAGTAGCGATAGGTCACAGGGAGAACGAAAACTCTTGTCGACGTTGGGGATGCGCTGGGGATGGGGGTCGCTGGTGCAAACAAATATTCGCAGTGACATATCAGGGCTACGTAGCTTGTTTGTGCTCCATGCTGGATGGCGTAATGACGTTGTTTCTTGGGTCTTTTGAGTCAATCTGACCCTTCGTAAACGAGGTCAGCTTCATCCTCTTGATGAAGGGATAAAACATAGCGACTCGATGAGATTTCGATATATGAGTAAAATTGGTTAAACAATGGAAGAGTTGTTCATCGTGGATCAAAGGAGGGAAGATTTACAGATTGTCGCCAAGGTTGCAAGGTCATATATCAAAACTTAATTACATATTCTCATAGAAGCATCATTGGTCTAGTGGTAGAATTCATCGTTGCCATCGATGAGGCCCGTGTTCGATTCACGGATGATGCACTCAGGTTTCTTTTTATATTTTTTTGTTGCCGTTACAACCTAGCCTAGGAACACCTTTTCCCCTCTCAGCCATCACGCAATCAGAGCCATTGTCAGCTGCAGCAGCAAGTGCCATATAGCCTAATTTAAAGGTATTGTTACATCACTCCTGACCGGTTCTCTCCGCAGGTCTAAGTATCCCAACATCCCGCCCGGCTGCGACCAACTGTGTCTGCTACATTCGCCCAAAGTTTAGCCACCAATCAATCTACTCCGTCTCTGCAAGAGATCGGCACGATGCTTGGTCTGTAAGCCAATGGTTCACTCTGGAGCATTCCGACGCCACAAACACATTGGATCCAATGGTCTGCCAGGCATAGAGTGCATGGCGGTTGGTGGTGCGGAGTCTAGATTAATGCCCGAGCGGTCGAGCGGGGTCATCCACTCGGCGTCGATCAGGGACTGCGGTTGTTTCTTCAAATCCTATACAATATCCGGGGTAGTGGAGAGATTGGCCCCTCAGCTCGGGCTAGACCAACACTGGGTCACCTGCCACCCGCCTGGTGAAATGGCAGCCGTGCAGAATTGGTTCGTTGGAATCACAAGTTTCTGCATCCAGGTCGATCTGGTTCAAGGTCAACCTCGGTCGGATCTAGGCTATACTCATTGAGTAAGACACATCCTCTGAGCATAGCGATTGTTGGTCCCTCATGCTAAATCACAGCAGTAGATTGTCTGCTCTCAAATTACACACCCGTTAATGTTTAGTCGAGGAATGACCTCGAGAGTACCCTCCCGAGGTCGAACTGAAATCCTTTCGAATGGCTCGCAAGAGGGTCCGAAGAGGACTCCAGTCAAACGAGCCCGCACAAGGGAGATACATGTTGCTGACTGAGTTGATTGCGTTCGAAGGCCACTATGCATGGTTCCTCGGCCCTCACCATCGACACGTGAAAACAAGTGTTGGCAAAGGAGCGAAAGAATAGATTGGTGAGGGGGTTGCAGCAACGTGCGGCGCTATTGACGGAGAATGAAGCATCGCAGGCTGGAATGGCGACTTCGACATCCGTGGCTATTCTGTGTTAGCGGTCGACTTCCCCTCGCAATGAGAAGACCGGAGAGAGGACATGCTCCAACATTTAGGGATATTTAAAGGCAATCGATCCCCATGAAATTGACATCGGACAAGAGCATCACAAAATCAATCAGCTCGAACAAACCAGTCTTCCCATCCAGCTAACTTCTAATTCATCATGCTCTGCAAGTCTCTCCTCGTTGCTGCGTTGGGTGTCCTCGCTCAGGCAGGCCCCATTGCCAGACGCGATGCAGCGACGGTCTTGACGGACCTGAAGACAATCTACACCGATGTGTCGACCCTCAATACCGATGTGACCGCCTGGACTGGCGACCTCTTGGCTGCCCTGGGCATTCTGACCGACTACAACAACGTCAAGAGCGCCCTGGACACCGCTATCACCGACACCGTGGCTGCCTCGACTTTCAGCACCGCGGACAGTGCGAGTATCACGTCCGAGGTGTCCACTCTGGCCGTGCTCATCATCGCGACCCTGAACGAGATTATCGCCAAGGTAAGACCACTGGAATGCCAGAGGTTGCACCGTGAGGCTGATCAAACATGCAGGAATCTACCGCCGCCTCCGCCGGCGTCTCCTCCACCCTGCTCTCGTCGGTGGAGACCCTCAAGACCGAGACTGACCAGCTTGGAGCGGACTTGGAGGCCAAGGCCACCTCGACCGATAAGACGACCATCGCCTCGGCCATTGCGTCGGTTGATGCTGCCTTCGCCAGTGCGATTGCTGCTTATGAGTAAATCCTGGAGTCATGGGATGAGATCGAGCAGATTGCTGAATTTGGGCAAGCCGATGTGACCACTTCTCATTTTGGGAGGTGGAATGATGATTGTGATGCGAATGTATGCAGCAGAATTTGAAGATGATCAGACTGGAAGAGCATAAATGCTATGGTAGAAATGTAGCCAAGCTTCCTCCCGGGTCGGGCCGCGCGACATACATAGTGTTCCGGGTTACCCCGCTCGCTCGAAGGTGGAGTTGGATAGCATCATGCACTTGCTTCTGTTAGTCGCAACATGTTCATTGTAGATGCAAACAAGATGTAGAAGCTGAGCCTTAGCTGTCACTGATTCAAATGCAGACCGTTACCAATGGCTGCTTGAAATCGTACTGCTGAACCTGGACCGGACAATGACTTAGGGCCTCATTCGCCACTTAGGAGAAGCCTCCCCTGATTGACAGTCAGGCTCAGCGACACCGGTGAAAGAACATCATGAGACTTCCAAGATGCAGGGCCGCATTGCACGAGCGCAAGATGCATTACCGCATAGCTCAAAGTTGCATAGAATGAACACTGGTTCATCCGAGGTCGAGGATTCTTAGGTGCGGTTTTGGGTCTAAACTGTGGAGTGTGCGTATGCAGGAAGGATAAACATCTAACTCGCGTATGCGCGTGGCAAGCAGAAGCCGGTGACTTATCGCACGTACTGTACGTAACTTATGGTGCAGTTGGTTGATAAGTTATCTACCCAACTTCGGGCAGCTAATCGCCACCCCCTGCCCACTGCCATCCAGGCGTCAGCCACGTGGTGACGTGTATAGTATACGATAACGGATTATTTTCACTTCGCCTGGGGCGCATGGTAGTGGAACTCCAAGGGATAACTCTGTGATCCATGTCAGTGCTATAAGGTGCCGACAGCCCAAAGACATGAGTCACGGAGTAATATGCCCTGTACACTGTACATACCTACAGCTATAGTTCAACTGTTGCTCGGAAGTACTGTAGATATCGTTCATGCACAGCAAAGCCAACTTAGAACGGTTCACTGTGCCTGCATAACAACTGAACGGTAGCAACCTAACAGAGCGATCCGGGCGCTTTCCACTCTCGGCCTCATTATGGGCCGTTCTTATCTCTTTGTTCCCTCCTTGCTATCCATAATCCCCTTCTTCACACTTCGTTCCATTTTGTACCCCCCTCCCCCTGTCTGACCAGTTCTTGGCCGTTAGTTCTGAAACAATGTGCGGACCACTCGCATCGCCGCCCGTCAGGCAGGAGTCGGTCCTCTTACCACAATGCTATGTCGAACATCGAACTTCAGCCTCTGTAATTGAGCGGCAGAAGCACGAACAGTTCCCAACTCAACGTCTTCACGACACAAATTCGGGGCATACACTTCCTCGCGATCTACGACTGCTCGACGACTGCTTTGTCTATCTCATCTTCTGTCACTTTTCTCATTTCCTGCTGTTCTTGCGCCAGAGGACCATTTGCTAGACTTTGTCTTTTCAGCATGGCACTCAGGGACCGACACAGAGCTCTAGAGTCATCGAAAATGGCGCGCGGTCGCGTGGCTGAAAAGTTTAGCAGAGAAGATTACACGGTGGGCTGGATTTGTGCCCTGGCACCGGAATTGGCGGCAGCAGCAGCGATGTTGGCGACCCTTGTTCTCGGTCGCTGTTCGCGGCGATGAGGCTACTATCGTGCGGATCGGAAAACGAGAGATTGAGACGGGCGCACGTCTCTATATTACCGTAGCGGCATATGGCAATCTGGCAGCAGTCCAGTTTTTGTTGCGCAGTCCGGCCATCGACAGTGAGGTCCGCAACACGTGCAATTTGACTGCTGTATCGTGTGCACGGGATCGTACCCACCATGCGATCATTCAGCTCCTTCTACTCGAGACAGCTGACCGACTCAATGCAGGTGGTCGAGGGCAATGTTTTGGGCTCGAAATCCGTATACAGCATGATAGACTTGGAGCAGGTTGTTTAAACAACGGCCATACTATGGTGGAAGCATCGATGGAAGCAGTGCGTTTGTCTTTTGGGGCTGGCTGAGTGATTGAGATTGCACCGGATATAACCGGAGTTAGGGTTAGCATCAACCCACCCAAAGACCGGCTTTTTCGCGTATTTTCGTCGCTCGACAGCCCTATGAGATTCGAGTCGAGATTCAAGCGGCCTGTCGATGCTGACATCCTTCCGATAAGCTCAAGAGTTGCTGAGCACGATACGCATAAATTCTGTCGGGACCTCGTCGCTTCCAGTGCATCCACATACTGCTATTAGCCCACCGTTGCCCGAGAGCGCAAACCGGCAAATAACCCTAACGCAATGGACTAACGTACTCAGGCTAACGCATCTGTCCCCTCAAAAGTCTACACATTACTTGGACTAATCCTTACAGGACACCTGGTGTCGCAACCCGTAATTCAGTGATCATGGGCAAGATGGAACATGCAATAGATACATTCGTCAGCTTCATAAAGTCATCACCAAACCATCATAGCACATATCAAAATCCTGAGGCCACATATCAACATTCCAAAGCACATATCAGCATTCAAAAAACACATCCAAATTCCCAATTTGCCTCCAAAAGTTCAAACCCCAAATCCCCGTTTTGTCTCCAAGACTCCGTCTAGGATCTCCATACACCCAAAACTCCCGATTCCCGCATTTTCACCAAGACTTTCCGTCCAAAAGATCCATGTCCCGCAACAAGTTGAGTCCGACAACGCTCGAAGATGTGTCACCTATGGTTGGAATGACACACCCCGCAATCAGCGGAGAGTCCGACGACACTCAAAAACGTGCCACCTATGGCTGGTATGACACATTTTCGCATTTCCTGTATCGTCCAAAAAACAGAGCTCAGATCCGATTAAGGCAGTACTCGCAGATCAGGCGTCCGCAGTCTTCACACTCGTACAAGAAGTGGAGACCATTGCAGATTGCGCACCCGGAGCCGCGTGGGCTTCCATATTCTCTGAGCTCGAAACGCACACAGGTGTGCAGCTCATTGATCCTATTTCGTGGAGGGTTGAGCTGCTCCTCGAGGGTTGCGCGGGGTGGAACTGGGACTCGGCGGCCGGCGTTGTTTCGATTGCGATTGCCTCCTCGATGACGAGGGCCGTGGTCGCGGGGTGGAACTGGAACTCGGCGGCCGGCGTTGTTTCGATTGCGATTGCCTCCTCGATGACGGAGGGCCGTGGTCGCGGGGTGGAACTGGAACTCGGCGGCCGGCCGTTGTTTCGGATTGCGATTGCCTCCTCGATGAC